AATTTTCTGCTACCACTGCACATATGTACAAATAGGGCACTCAAAGCAATTTCTCCTACATATCCCTCAATATACTGATACTGATACTACCCATTAGAGTGGAAACGGAGGCTTTTACTAGGAATTACGTCCTGAAGCGTTAAAAAGTGCTCAAGCCAATTCAATAAGCACTCGTTGGGACCCAAAACCGGTGATCATCCTGATAATTTTGCTTCCTAATTTTTTGTGACGGTAGGCTTCAGGGCAGTAGGCAAGGCAAAGCACAGACAGCACAGACAGACTTAGCCGGCACCTGAAACATTGTGTCGATGACCTGGTAGCAGGCGTCCGGTTTCTGTACAGCATTGAATACTTTGTCCGGTTCCGGGTCTGGGGCCACAGGCTTTCGGAATCGTAAGTAACCGACCGGCGGTTGGGCATAGCGAATGCCTAAGAAGGGGGTAACAGAAAGTGTAGGCGAGCTGAACTATGGCAGTTGACATACTGTAGATATGAAAAGTAAAAAAGGATACGCATTTTATTGGAAGGACAAGAAGTGATAACAATCAATGTAAATCATAGACTGCTGTCACAGAACTGCTGTTAACCTGCCCTTCAGGCCATATACTAGGCACTAATACACTATTCTAAAAGCCTGCATAAACGGGTGCTGGTCACAGCTGAGGCAGTGGCAATTCGTCTGGCAAAACCCGCTCTCTGCTGTCAAAAGACGCTGGTACATGCAGTTTCCCTCCCTTGGCCGACTGCGCACAATAATCCCACACCGCCAGAAGCCACGACGTCATAAGCCACGCAGTTTGAAACCACGCTACTCGCAGCCACAGAGAGCACGCCTCGCGTGGACGTCGACCATGAGAACGCCCCCCGCTCCATGCACGCCACAACGTCCGGCATACACAAGACGAGAGAAAGACGAGATGACTAACTGCCCCCCCCTTCCACCTGAAGAACAATATAAGCAATGTACAAAACTGGCCGTTTTACTCGCTTATTTTCCCTGTCACTGTAAAGGCCCGATGATGAATGATGGAAAACAGCTGTTTGTCACTACGACTTTTCAATCGTAAACGAAATGGGAAGTTTTGCAGAAAAAATTGCGGTTGTTACCCGGAAGATCAGGCTTTAGCCTTACAGCGCTGGCTTAAGCGCCAGCGTCGAAATGGCAGGTGACAACGCAGGTCATTTTACTTGTTAGGCATGCATGTAAGCTTATATGAGACAGAGAGACTCGGGGTCTAGATGGATGAACGAAGAACTTGAGACATTACTAAATAACGACTGTTTAATACTTCAGGTAAATACTGCCCGATATAGGCTTCATCTACATACTAGTTTCAGATTTATTAAAAACACGTACATGCTGCACTGTAGCTTGCCACTTACTGGTTTTAGCAAGTATGCTTACTAGAACTAGCACTTCTAGTATAGGCATAGCACTCCTAACAGTGTGTATCCTGGAATATAGTAAATTCCACTTCATTACGACCTAAATGCATGGAAGATCTTCAGCTATTATTAAATACACATTTCTTTAACCTTTTAGCTTACTAAAATCCCCATATAAGTTGCGTTTGCATACTAGGTTAGAATTTCCTACATGCACGTACAGACCGCACTGTAGCTTGCCAATTACTGGTTTTGTTAAGTATGATTACTAGAAATAGTACTTCTGGCATAGATACAACACTTCTAGCAGCAGTATCCTAGTCCTAGTAGTTTAAATTTTATGAAACAACCATGGAAAGCATTGATGTACTTCGAGCCTCAAACACCTACTTTACGAATCGAGGTGAATGTTCGCATTCCAGGAACGTGCATATTTTGAGAAGAAGGATTATCGAACACTGGAATCATTATTTTATTAGCCTGAGCTTTCGGGCTCCTGCAG